TGGCGCCACCTAGTGCCTCCGCTCAATTTAATTTCTCTCAACAACTAGGTCAAGAATAGGAATACACTACACGATTAGCAAAAACTCCGAAAGTGCGCATCCAAGCACCAGCCAATCAGCAAAAAGAGCCATACATTCTGTGCTGGCAACAATTCCCGAAATCGAGGATTTAGGCAGAACAAAAAGAAAGGTTGGTGAATTTTATCAAGGGGAAAGATGTTATTGCCCTTCTTCCTACGGGATTTGGGAAAAGCTTAATATACCACTTAGCAGTGCATTAATTAGTCATGACCAAATAGGAACAACTGGTTAAATTTTAAAAAGTACCTGCTTACCATCAAGCGAACGAATTCCAACACTGCAAGTTCAGACGGTTTCTACGAGGTGAAACCGGCTGATGAATCAGGCTAGCAGGGCTGTCATGAAAATTACAATATCAGCTTCAATATATGAGAGCTGGAATGATATATTTGAGGCTCAATATTTACTTATTCTTTGCATTGATGGGTGAATTTTTGTTATTTTTATATAATAACATATGATTTAAGACTGTATAGGGTAGAAAAACATTTGCTATGGCTAATTATAGGTTTATTATGTGTTGCAGCTCATGCCTTTTAAGACTGTATATATAAAAAAATGGTTTACTGGGATTATCCTGCTTTGTGACAGTATAAGTATTACACAAGCATTTTCAGTATTATAGTTTATCACAATATTTCAGTGTAGCAATATAGTAAAGTATAGTAAAGTATAGTATAGTAGCTTCAATATGTGTTTTCGTAGCAGTCCTAGGGTTAAGTCCACCTTTGGCCTGGTTTGGTATTTTCATTTTTATTTTAATCTTGTTTTATAACTAGTTTAAGATCTTTATTCCTGGTTCAGTCCTTGTTGTAAACTGTTTAAAGTTTTGTAAAATATGTTATTTTAGAGTCAACATATTCCCAATTTGGGTCTTATATTACACTTTACCTGCTCTGTGTGAGGTATCCTATAATTTCAGAAAACTGCGGCTCACTTCTCAAAGGAGTATAGAATTCATTTACAAGGCAAATTTTGAGGAGCTAATGCCCTTTCATTTGGGAAAAAGGAGGAGGGGGAAATGGGAGAAAGTTAAATTAAAATGTGCCACACAGAGACGAGGGATGGCAGTATAAGCAGTGAGGCAGGAATTATATCATGAAACTGAAGCTGCTGAGATTACAGGCTTCTTCACTCTGCTATTTCTAGACACTGTCAGGCTGTGCTAAGACAAACTGTGCACTTTTATGTTAGACATGTATTGGCAATTGTAAAGGTTCCATAGTAGGGCATTAAACTTGTATTTATTCAATTGTGGGTATATTTATATCTTACTGTCAGCAAACTTGCCTCTCCACAGATTCAGCCTGTAACTTGGACATTTTCCACAAAGGCAGATTTAATGCCATATTGGAGGCAAAGTGAAAAGGTACATTGTTTGGCTTTAAGATCTACTAGTAAATGGGGCTTTTGTACTGAGGTATAGTATTTTGTCTTAGAGAGTATAGCAGTTGTATACTATTTAATTTACTTTTATTCATTTATTTGATTATAAAGCAAAGAAGATAGAAGTCACAAATCTGCATATACATTGTGTACATCATTTGGTAAATGAAGAGTCAGGTCCCAAACCCAGTGAAATGAATATGGATGGAATTCAAAATGAAAACTGGAAAGCCAAACTGATTTGTGTTAATTTTAGTAGTCTTATTTCGAAACTAGAGTTTAGAAAATTAGAGTAAATTTCTGTATTTTAATGTAATGAAATGAGGATGCCATCAAGTGAATTGTTTTGGATGGTTAAAGCTGAGATCCAGCAGCTTTAACCGAGACTAAAGTTGAAATACTTTTACTTAACGTGCTTAAACTTAGACGGATCATCTCAATGAGCAGAAAAAGCAACGCTGCCATAACTACAGTGTAAAGATGCCGAGAAGAAAATCCTTCATATTCCTCTTTCCGCTCTCCATCCCCTCTCCGCATGTATTCCGACCTACTTCTATTCCAGCTCCTCACTAACTCTAGTTACAACCCACAGCTGACCTTCATATAGCACCAGTATACAACACTAACAATCAGAAGCCTTGGGGCCAAAACAACCATTAATTTTCTCTGGCATGTCAAACTAAAGCTACACCTCGCTCGATATATATGTATTTTCAACGCTCTCCTGATTTTAGTAGCAAGTATAGCTATTCAAACCAGACATTCATTGATTCCTGGGCTGAGCGTAAACCTAAAAAAACACCACAATAAACAGCTAAATAATTGCGTGATACATCATAGCTGTAGCCGCTTCTGTCAGCTAAAAAAGTGAAAGGAGTGCATAAACGTTATATCGAGGTAAGCTAATTCTCTCTCCCATTTGAATGAACCTTCTTTGCAGGTACAGTGCTGTGTTCGCAAATGAAGGCTGAGATTGAAGTGTTTGTTTACAGGGGAGGGGAAAGAAATCGGCAACAGTTTTAGCAGTGAAATTAAAAAGCTGTGCTAAGTAAGTGGAGTTTGATTAAAGCTCATATTAAAGGTTGTAGAAGTGGATTGAAGTCTGTGACCTTAATCTGAACTCAGAGTCTGAAACCTTGCGAGTTGCATGCTCCTTTCAGCAGATCACTCAAGCAATGCTCCTACAAATATAATTGTCAGTTGAAAATTATGGGCATTTAAAGTATCTTGTTAAGTTAAGTATAAACATGCAAAAATGACAAGTACAAAATTGCAGGAATTGATGTAAAATCTTCATTGACAAAGGGCTGGTTTTACAAAGAAAGGTATTGACTAAGGCTTAGAGCTACTTCAAACGCAGTATTAAAGGTCCTGTATTACACTAAATGGATTCATGTGAGCTTTAAGCCATGTCATGCTGTTACCTCATCAGAAACATCCCTGGAGTTGTCTTTTGTTTCATTGACACGTTTAAGCAATCTTTTATTATTAGTCTATACAGCTCAAAATGCTCTATTCCACCTTGTGATGTCATGAAGTGGTAGTTTTCAAGTGAATAGCTGCTGTATCTTTTACCTTTAGTTCAGCAGAGATTGGCAATTCCAGGGCTGAAGTCATCCAAATGAGTCTAGTAATGGTGTATGTTAAAAACACACTGAAGCACTTCCTGTATTACGACATGACATCATTGAGTGGAACAGAGTGTTTTGTATTTGAGAGAGAAACTCATGTATTTAGACAAGAAATGAATGATGATGTATGAGTAGTAGGGCTGGGCAGTTGCCAATTACTGCTCCATTCAATCTAACAAAAATACTTTTTGAGGTTTTGGTGAATCTCTGATTTGACCATATGAAAACACAAGAAAAATCTACATAAAAGATCTTTGTGAAACCAGCCCGTGTCATTTTATAGATTATCCAAATTCATCAAAACGCTCAGTATTGCAAATCTCACGCACTCCATGACAATTTCAATTATCATCACACTGACAGTTTAACATCTTAACAGAGACTACCATTAGGAGTAGTAGACATCATGAGTACTCCTTGTCAAAACAGTACTGAATTTTATAGTATGACGATTTTCACTATTCATCAGACAGCACTGAAATCTCATATGATAATGTATATGATTGGTATTCAGTGTATCATGTTTTTATATCGTCACTAATATTGCACAGTGTCTGTAATAGCTCTAACATGGGCCACCAAGATCTAAACGATTTATGGACCATTTATTTATAGTCACATGATTAGAGGAACTGAACACAAATGAAAGACATGGATTGAAAACCTAGTAACACTGGTTAAAAACTAACATTATTGGACCCTAAAAATGCCGATTTCAGACATGGTGGAGCAGATTAGGCTGGAGTTAGACTCTAAGAAGTGGTCGGTCTAAGTTCATTCATGATTTTATCCTTTTCCTGGGAACATACAAAGAGGTGTTATAAACTAAAATACACCCCAAACTTCTTACTAACTACAACTACCTTTTACCATCACTACTGACTAGTGATCAAGCCAAGTTTCCATCAAGAGATTTAGTGCAATGAATGATGTTGCCAGTTTGCAATATTAAAAGGACAGTTCAGAATTGTGGACATAGAGCTGTGAGTGTTGGAGATGCATGGAGACACTTTTTAAAATATTCCATCCAGTCCTTGTATTTGCAGAGGTCGCTGGTGCTAGGCTAGTGCATGTCAATGGCCATAGTTAGCCTGACACTAAAAACAGTCTTACCTACTCCACAAAACACCCGAAACAAACCTATTATTACACCAGACTGTCGATGTCAATGTCTGTGTTGATAGAATTATGTTTGAAATAAAACTAACTTTGCATTGCATGAATTGTCATCTGCTGAGGGCCTATTTTCTCATATATCAGTCCACCGCCAAGCTTTCTATCAGGAAGTAAAGCTCGCTGCTGCTGCTCAGACATAAAGCCTTCAAATGCAACTAAAATACTTCTAAAATTATTCTATCGACACAGACACCCACATCGACATTCCTGCATTATAATTGTTTTGCCTCTGGTGTTTTGTGGAGTAGGCAAGACTATTTTTAGTGGCAGGCTAACTGTGGCCATTGACATGCACTAGCGTAGCAACAGTGACCTCTGCAAATACAAGGACTGGATGGACTATTTAAAAAAGTGTCTCCACACATCTCCAACACTCTGACTCACTATGAAATGAGGTCCTATGTCCAAAATTCCAAACTGTTCCTTTAAGGGTTAGAAATTAAAGTTGTATTGTGTAACTTTTATGGTGGAAGTCACACACTTTTCCGTCATGGAGATGTTATTGTTTGTCTGGAATGTATTAAACCTTTCTATCTTCATGGCGACCAAACCAGAAGTTACAGGTCGGATCTGTGGCAAGGCGACCCCACTCAGTGTTTTTCTAGCTATTTTTGAGCTATAAAACCACCTGTAATTTAATAAATATAAGATAAAGCTGTTTAATATCATACTGTGGGACATTCCAGGCAGAGCAATGACATCCATAGAAACAAGCAGATGACGGACCCTCAACCAAAAAGTTACATAATGCACCTTTAACTGTTTTGGAGCACTTTTAAACTCCAAAACACATTTTTTATATATTTTTTTTCACTGTACATCTTCTTGATAGAATCTTATCCACAAAATCTGGTTTATTTTTGTTGTGTGTTTCATACCCGGCGTTGGTTGACGTTGTTGGGGCTGATGGGGGAGGGGCAGGGAGACTTTCCGGAGAGCGGGGTGGACAGCTGACTGGCCGGCGTCCCGTTCACTGGAGGGAAGAGAGAGAGAAAGAGAGAAAGAACAGGGTGAGTGAGTGATAATGGGAGCATTGCAGACTGAAATAGTGTTAAACTTGAATCCAGATCAGTTAAAACAAAAGCCTACGAGCAGCCTCCACATCCGCCCTCCGCATGCACCCACTCAACACAGAAGCAGGAGGACCAGAGAGAGGACAAAGGAAATCGCATAGTCTGTGTAGATATTCACCATGTACAAATAAATATAAGGCTGTGTTGGGAGTAAGACTAGACTAGCACTGTGGGGGTAAGATAACAAATTGGAAAGGTTGAGGAGGCTGATGGTTGTGCTGCTGCGATAATGAAAGGGAGTGTCTTAAAGAACTTAAGGTCCTATATTACGCAAAAATTGACTCTTGTGAGCTTTAAATCATGTTAGAATGTTGTTACCGGAGTTATTTTGTTTCATTCACACATGTTTGAATAATCCAGCATTACTACTTTGTCTACATCTCCAAAACTCAAAATGCTCTGTTCCAACTTGTGATGTCATGAAGCGGCAGTTCTCAAGTTAACAGCTACAATTTACCGTTTGTTCAGTAGAGTAGGGTAGTTAAAGCGCTGAAATTATCAAAATTATTCTCTTGAAGGTATACGGAGTTTAAAACACACTGGAGAACTTTCTGTATTAGCACATGACATCACAAGGTGGAACAGAATGTTTTCTGTTGGAGAGAAGAACTCACAGGCAGGACTTCTGGGTTAAGCGTGTGAATGAAGCAAAACTCCAGGTACGCTTTTGATGAGGAAACAACATTATAAAATAGATCAGACAATAACGTTAATGTGGGCCCTTTTAGATGTTGTTTTAGATGTTGTAACTGTCTAAGAGTGACAGGTGACAATATTAGAAAAAAATTGTAGAATTTGAAACAATAAACTCAAATATATTTAAGCAGAGTAACCAGAGGACCATATCTGAACACAATCTGAGCAAAAACATAAAGAATCAGGACGTTCCTAATAAACTGACCAGTGACTGCATGTCCTCTATGCAATCTTGGGTAAATATAACAACAACATTATGTCCTTGTTTCCGTGTGAATAATCAGTGTTTTGCTCTTGCGACTCCTGCTCCTGTCGAGAGCTCCTCCAGATGTGCCATAACCTCATTAAACCAACAGTGTTAGGCTCATTAACACGGCTCAGAGTGTGGTCAAGCAAAAAGCACATTTCCTCCATCTCAGAAAGCTCTGGCTCCATCATTAACCTGCAAAACTGAGATACTTTAATGTGTTTGCAAAGGTTTTTTTTCCTTTTTTATAGATATATATCATCACCTCAGATCAACTCAAGGTTAGACTGACTGACCCGGAGGTTCACAGTCACATTTATGTAAGAGAGACAGGCAGAACAGATGGGCAGAGGTTAGAGAGATGTACAAATTATTTATGAAATACCAGTGCTGTATCATATATATGAGAAACTGTAGCAATATTGAGTTTAAAATAGGTAGATGCGTTTTAAAATATTTCGATTTTTGTGTTTTTTCTTTGGTTTGTTTGTTTTATCATACAAAATGTGCTGAAAATACAAATCGCATGTAATTACAACTCTCAATTTATTTATTTATTTTAATAAAGCTTGGCACCAGAGAAGTGTCAGTAATTATAAATCAAAACAGCATTAACAAATATGGAAAATACCTATTAAAATGGCTCTAAATGATGCATGGTGGTGTTTATAAATATTACGTTACTCATATCATATAGCCTATATGTTTTCACGCCAAGGAAAATTAGATCACGGTGTTCTTGATGTCCCACTATGTTCCTTTCTATGACCTACACATCGCTGAATACCTGTATGATCTTAATAAAGAACCACAGTGATAAAAATGCACGAAGTCAAGTCACATTTTAAATTTATAAACCAAACTGACCCTTGAACCCAGGCAGGTGCGCTTGTTAGAAAATGTATAGAATGACAAAACACCACCCATCTTCATACCTAACTTCTCTTGTAAAACCAGCTGGTCATATTTAATGAAATACTCAGTGTAAACCGTCTATTATTAACTGCTTTCAAGCTCTGGTTCCCATTAGAGAAAAAATATAGCCAGTCAAACCAAACCAACGGAAGCAGTAAAGTGGTCCGCGTCCTGCCGCTATCCTCGCTATTCCCGTTGAGATCAAACAACTTTGTAAATAATTCAAGACAGAGATGTAAAGCCCATCACAGACCAAAATAGCAGACTGCACGAATAGACACGTTGCACAACTGCTTATTGCTTCTCCCGATATAAAATTAATAAGCAGCTGATTTAAAACGAGGCGATAGCTGGGGATTTTCATTGATGAAATGAAGTAGCGTTACGCACAGAAACTGACGCTCCCATCGGTTACACAACGATAAATATTAGCATCATAAAGCATCACCTACACCCGGAAAACCGACTCAATATTCACCATCTAAGAAAAACTGGGCTAATAGGGTCATATACGCGATGACCGCTGGCATGTAATTAAATATTAACGTTTGAAGGGACGGGGAAAGTTCGCGGCGATGATACTCCAATTTACATAAACGTTCAAACGCTAATTGGCAGCTCAAAATCGAAATCATACCTTCCACTTCCAACATGGTGAAAAGCACAGTGATAATCCAATGTGAGAGGAGGAGGAAGAGGAGGAGAAACGGACCGTCTGTGTGCTGATAGTAAATAGTGGTGAATGAAGCGAGGCGAGCGCGCGGTACTACTCTGGTGCCGCTGCTTGCGCAAACGGTGACGCGCGAAGGAGAGAGAGAGATGGGCTAAGGAGGGAAGATGGAGAGGGAAGAGAGAAAGTACATATTTATTTTTATTTGGCGTGTGGTCAGACGGTGAATGAGATTTAAGGCGATCTTTGGGGAGGCAAGCAGTGATCGCGAGCCAAACGCTAACTCAAAAGCGAAGAGGCTATTTTCGAGCTGTTTGGTGGTGGTGATGAGTGTGTGGACATTTTTTGTGATCTCGGATAAGTGGCCAGAGAATAGGCATATGGCACTGTGACCGTGGCACTCTGAAACGTGATGAGAAAATAGTTCAAAGTTGCAACGAGCTGCTGACAAGAATGAGAAAGTTGGGTACAAAATGTTCACAGGCTGGGCAATTAATATTAAAGATATGTGTATATGCAAAAACAAATGATCTTTTCTTACATTTAGTCAGATAAATCTCACTAAAATGCAGAATTCAATGCAGTAATCGATCATCTTTGCGTCGTGTCAGTCGTGTTTTGGCATCACTATAGCCTAATGAGTCTGGCTGCATTCAGAGTTTGTAATGTGCAGCTGCAATAATGTTGTGTCCAGTATCACACAGGGTTCTGGATCATACAGAAACCAGGCAGTAAGAGTGAAGATACACTGTAAGCTACAAAAACTGTACGAACACAACATATTTGGCCTAAGTAATATACATTTCTATTAAAAGTTTCACCAATAATAGACTTACAGAAGCAATCAGAGAAATGTCAATGGGAACAAGGATTTTCTTTCCCCATCAAAGAACAGCTGAAAGTACAAATGATTTTGCACAGCGGAAGCTGCCGGGAGGCCATTATTTTACCATTAGTGTAAATATCAATACACTGCCTCAGAGATACATCGGAATGTGCTGTGCTGTGGTTTGGACCAGATATCATTTGTTTTCATACAAAACTCCAGCTTCTCACAATTTGTCAAAATGATGAGTGAGTTGGATACCGATCAGACATAACATTATGGCCACTGACAGATAAAACTAATAGCACAGAGAAGATATGGAAGGAGTTTTAACTTGTACAAGAATAAAGAAGCAGCAGCTTGAAAAATCTTTGGGGTCAAAGAGCCAGTAGACCAAAATGAAAACTAAAAAGACGATACTTGTGAATAATGACGTCTACTACAATGCATCCTTTCTGCATGTGTAATCCCACAGTCCTCAAGAAATATTCCATTGTAAGAAAAATGTTTTACCTTAATTCCACTCAAAAAAAAAAAAACTAAAGTAACTAAAGCCATCGTTTCCTTTAAGCCTCTTGGATGGAAGGTAAAACGTCTTCAATTTAAACCTCTGTCAGAACACCTTAACTGAAACTTTAGTTGGTGTAAAATGTATCTGGTTTTAGTGCAAATCAATGTGCGTAGGGCATGAGGTCCTAATGCTTGTCCCCATTGGTTTCTCATATTTTAGCAGTTTCTATTTCTAACCCAGATTCATATCATGTGATGACTTTGTGCTGGTGACAGAGAGGAGAAAGGTGAGGAGAAATATACGACTGCTCAGTTAATTTTATCTGACATGAGTCGTTGGAGAGCACGGGACAGATGGTGCGAGTGTGAGTGAAAGTCCTTCTCACTTTATTTTGGGCTCATGTGTGTGCGGCTCAGCTGGGGTGGTGACATCATCAACGGGAGACGCTGAACACAACGTCAGGCTAACACGCTATACAATGTGCCATACATGCCATAAATAGTGCATATGGTTTATAAGAGGCTCTGAACAAAGAAAGATAGAACTTACAATGTACACGCAATACATGAAATAAGGGGTGCTAGATTTTCAGAGAGCCTGAACCTAGCTCCAAAAAAAATAACTTTACCGTATTTATTATTGTCACAAAAGGAAAACTAATTTGCTTTGTTTCAACAGACAAATAACATGCAAAACTCAAAAACTCTTCATATACCAAAGAGTTGAGGGGAAAGAAGAGTCTAGTCCAGTCTAGATTTATAAAGCAACTTACCCTTCATCACCTCTTGAGACTATAAAAGCAGTAATAATATAGAGAGATATGATTCACTGTCTTTAATTTAAGTGAATGAATCATGGAGGAGTCATGATTCAGACATGAGAGCAGTTTAATGTTTCTGATCAGAACAAGAGCAAAGATGGGGAGACGAAGAAGCCTGTTCTGAGGCGAAAGCTGCTGTTGTACAGGTGTTTATTTTTACAAGGCTTCTGTATTGATTTTGCATATTTGTTGGAACCTGCTCTGAAACGAAATGA